TAATTTTGCTTTTGACTTCAGCAGTCACTTCAGTTTACATAGAGGCCGTTTGATCGAAGTTATGGAGGTAGACATCGGGATTGTGCCAATGGCAATTGGAAAGCTGTTGCTGCGATAACTACGTTTCGTTAGCGGAGCAAGGATGAATCTGAGGCGCTTCTGCTGGGATCTCAGGATTTCTGTCAACTCAGGTATACGAGCACGTGTTTTTTCGCCGTCTCTTCCACAATAGCCATCTCTACTCCAAAACGTCAAACTGCAGACTCAAGAGCACGCATTCCCACTAGGGTCTTTGGCCTGTTGCCAACCAGGTCACGCGCTCCAAGCGTTCCTTGCGCAGGGCTGCTGGTCAACCTTCTGTACGGAAATTCCTTCAGCGGTGGCTACGCTGTATGTTTGCGACTTTCAAAAAGCAGCTCATTGCTACCTAGTTAACCCAGACGGACGGCGACGTTTTTTGCGAACGGACCTGTGTGCCGGTCGGCTTTTTTACCGCCTCTCGCGCGTGCGCCACATGGTGGCGCACGCCGGCACCCAGGGTAGGTTTTATGCAAGCTTGTGCTAATGGCGCTGGAAAACCATGTTTTTGTGCCCGAACTTCATGACCTAAAGGGAATTTCGACTGTTGGCATCCATGCAGTCCTCCATTCTGATAACTCACTTCAGTAAGAGCAGATTTATTGAACAAAAAGGCTACTCCAGGTTTATCTAGCTATTTATTGGAGGCTCTTTTCAGTTTTAGGAACTTGTTTTTGATTTTTTTCCGCTAGTTAAGCTGTATTCCCCTATGTGCCTAAAGCACATGCAATAAATAATAGTAATCGCCGGACACCACGAATTCAGCAATGTTCTAGGGAAGCGACAACTGTAGGGAAGTTGTTGATTTTTATCATTACCAAGCCTATTAGCATACGGAGGAAGTTGGATATGCGAGTTTGGTATGACAGCACGCTATTTCACCGAGAGAGCTCAGATGAGAGCAGAAGCAATGCGAAAACTGAATCGCATCACTTCTAGAAACCTCTGCGCAAGAAAGTTCATGCACATATTTCCTTATTCTTACTTATTTACGAGTTCTCTGTGTTTTGCGCTTCCGGGTGTCTTACGGGTATCCCTACATCGGGTTGCGTGCAATTCCTAGTCGTACTTTCAGGTATCTCTTTTTCTTTGATTTCCTCTGTTTCTTTTTCTATCGTCGCATTTAGCCATGGTTTCTAGGATGCAGGTTTTTAATCTCTAGCTGTTTTGGAAATACTATTGTTACTATTGAAGTGTAGTGAATAATAGGAAGAAGTTGTACATGAAGACGGTTTTATTGGAAACCACGCCGTCCGTTAAGGGTTAAGGTTTTAGGCTGACGTTACTAGACTAGACTGTACTGCTTAGAATAACTTTTCGGTATTCTAAACGTATGAGCCTTCATTCGGTGTCTTTAGCACTTTGACACGGCTTTTCGAACTCTACGTTACTTTTGCATGGGATTGTTTTTTCGTTTATTGTGAAAAAGTAACAATACTAACGTACCGAGTGTATTAAAGATTACTTATAATATCATTACGAAGCATAAGCGGGTATCTGTATGAGTTCTAGTGGGCACACTGTGTAAAAAATAAACATATACGGTACGTCTGTAGGAGTATGAACAGCAAGTAATTCCATATTCATACTCTAGATTTGAGTGAGTCAAGAGCCACATTCTGCCAAGAAGGTATGTAAGACACAGGGACAAGGTCATACTACACCGTGAATCTAAACTCGGCATTCTTTTTTAGTTCCATGTGTAATCTGAGAAGTATTAGCTACTCTGTTGATCAGCGGAGCCCTTTCAAATATTTGCCGCCCTCTCAAGTGCCTTTCATATTTTCACCACCTGAAAGACGGCTCTATATGATAGCGCAGACGACGAGCGTGCACCCCTTCTCGCTGTTCAGAAACTCTGCAGTCAATCTGTCTGCACGTCTGGCATCTCTTCGCTACAGAAACCTTAGCTGACGGAAGCCATGCACCCCTATCGCTGGAGATGGGCTTTAGAATCGCTCACAACACCTCCTTTTTATGAAAAATGGGACTGAGCCTTAAGACAGGAACGATTCTTAGTATGGTTGCGTAACCACGCTCGCGGTTGGGCGTGAGTGTCATTGTTATCGACTTGTTTTCGACGTACTCTGTCGTTTTCTAAGCAGACTCCACACGACGGGTGCTGGACTTTTAGCTCCGGACCGGCAGTGCAGATTGCGAATAAACTCCGCATGGTTCTGCTGTTTGAAAATCTTTCCGCTCACGGGATTGGAGGCAGCAGTATCGGTGAGGAGATTTCAGCGCAAGAGATGAGTGAGGACCCTCATGTAAATGTAACTACTACCATCAAAGCAAATAAGAGTCACTAAAATTGGGAGTTCTTGTTGAGGTTTAATGTCAACTATATATGTTTTGCTGATCGAGGCGCTCACGTCCAGAGGAGAAACATTCAAAACAAAACAACAAAACAGGGTCGATGGTAGGTGACACTAGGACTAAGCCCAGCAGAGGGGAAGAACGCCAGGGAACCCTTCTGCTGGGCTTGGTCCTAGGGTAGCTCTATCCCCCAGAATCCCTTCTCCTCCCTAAGTCTCGGTCCCAAACACAGTAATTGTCTCACTCACATCCCCCAAATGGAACGTCCCCCCCAACAACATGACCGCCCTGATTGCCATAACAGCACTATGCTAGTTCCTTCTCATCTCTTCCTATTGCTACAACCACCGCTGTCCTCAAAATTCCAGCCGTTCAGATGCATTTCGAATTGCAGAACCTTGCGGATTTTATCCGCAATCTTCACACGTTGACGTGTTGAATTCCCGCGATGCGTCGGGATCGCCGCGCCGCTCGCCGCGCAATTTGCCGCGTGCCAACCGGACGAGCCAAAAGTCCGTCGCCCCCACACGACGGCCATGACGGGAATACTGTCGACAACTGTATGAAGCACCATCGTTGTAGAAAGTGAAATGGCACTTCCTTCCCTCCACCAACCTCCTAAGCTCAGTCTAAAAGTCTCCCGCATCTCGCATTAGCGACTAAAAGGAGTAGATGTTACAAAATCAAAAAAAAGAACTCGGCGGAATGCGTAGATCCGCTGGCAATGGTTTTTATATACAAATATAAATGCGTTTTGAGCATTAGGCAGGTGTTGGCAAGTACGTTACCACGACTTGACCGGAATGCACACGTTTAGACAAAGTGCTCCCATACAGTGCGGTAAGCCACTTCCGGGCTTCCGGACACACCCCATTGTCGTCCGTTCCACAAGCGGGCGGTGCTCGTCTCTAAGAAGGGGTGGGGGGGGGGGTGGGGGTGGTTGGTGACCTACCCTCGGTACTGCTCTTAAGGGTTTTGCTCAACGACTCGAGTTTCTACCTCTAATAAATACTTCGAAGAACTTACGTGGCTAGAATAGGAGCTACACATTGCGCGAAGCTGCCACCAAAGGAATGAATTCCTTGCATCGTTCCCTAAATATTGTAGCTGAACTGAGTTTAAATATTGTAACTCTGAGAGGATTGAGAGTTTAGATAGCAGCGATTTGTTCTCTTTATCCGAATTTCATTCAATTTCTTTCTTGCTTGGGGAATACTTCAGCTGTCTAGAGTGCATACTTTTAACAATCGAGGAAATCCTCGACCGTGGCTCGTACTGTGCGAGAATCGGGAGTGAAAGTAGCGCGGAGAGCCGGCTAGCGTGTGGTGAGGGTGAGGAGTGGCTCAAAAGGAAAGGCGAAGCTCTTCGACGATTGGTCGGATTTCACCTGCTCCACAAATGCATTTGAACACTATCATTAGCTATCATTTGTTGCACAAGTGAACTTGTGCGGAAAGCATGACAACTGTACATGCTTTAGAGTATCGGTATCACTTGGTTTTCGCCCCACCTGAGCCAAAAGCAGGGAAAGCTAACACCTACGGGAGAGTTTGGTTTTTCCAGCACCATATATGATAGAACATGTATCTTCCCAATGACATACACTATGAGCAAAGCAAGACTCGCAAGATATCCATTTTCAACGTGCGCGAGCACATAAATAAAAATAAAAGGTCGTTCCTCATACTCCTCCATTTCTTCTAAGAGGGATCTAGCATGACCAAAACCCTACATAATCAGATTTGTTCTAAAGTTATGCTTAACTCCCTCCAACATAACGATAACTTCTGGCTCATGAGGTCGAACACGGGATACCCAGGAATTCAGGGAGCGGCTTAATAAACGTTTCACAAGCTTGACTCATGATAACGCCGTAAACATTTAGCATTCGCATTGAATTGCTTCTTGCTTGATTGCTTTTTGATCTTTGAGTAATTTTTTTCTTCCTCAGTAACACTGGGTGAAAACAAAGGAATCTTTCCAAACAATATTTCTCTGATAAATAAAATTCACAGCGTTTGAGCAAGACGATTTTCTGCATGATGAAAAGGTATGAAAAGTCACAGAGCCATTTGACAGTCCTTGCTAGTACTTGTGAAAGCTAGTCATTTAGAAACATCTGGGAGGGCCTTACTATGAAAGCTATAGTGATGAAAAATTGATGGTGAAAAAGAAGTACCTGCTTCCGAGGCCCGAGAATTAGCGAGTAGAGAGTTGCCGATGGAGAACCGGTAAAAGGGAAAGAAACGCCGAAGAAAAAAACGAAGCAAATCAAGTATATAGGAAACGGTACCCGTTTGGCTGTCTTACACCATTCATAAGACGGAAGACATCCGCCAATTTCGCTCGAATTCTTTCCTGAAATTATATTAAGACAATCTAGATACTGAGGACAATTCCAAGAAAATAGCGAAAGTCGAAACGTGGAACATTCTAAGGGCGCGAACCGACACGCAATTAACAACGAAGAACACGCTCCGGCCATGTAGCATGACCTTTTTGCGGCACAACTGGCACTACCCGAGCCCCCTCTCGCGTCTTGTGTCTTAGGCTCCAGCCGTTTCGCAGACATGGCGTTAGCGTTGATGAGGAAGAGGTCCCATTTCTCGGTCGGACGATTTTCCTTTTTTTTTCCTTCTTTGGTATACTCCATCTAACTTGAATTCCAATGAACTGTCTTCTTGTAGTTGACGACAGGGCACGTTTTGGCTTACTTGACTACGTAAGACATGAACGGCATGACGCGCAACGGCGTTCGGCTCTCCTACTAGGTTCGTTTACCACAATTCAACTCCGAATGCAACGTAATTAGAGCATCATGGAAGCTGGTAGAGGGCATCTATGGTGTTATCCCAAATACAAAGGAAGATACGAATACTAATACGAAACAATACGTAAATTCAACCGAGAATATCCGGATGAAGGACAAATTAGAGGTGGTTGAATCATTGCTGAAGATTCAACTTGTAGATCCAACGCGACATAAATGGAAAAGTTCAAAAACATTTGAGAGGGGTCAACAGACGGAGGTGTTCTACATGTTATGCGAAACAAAAGGTGTCAACACGTGCTTCAGTTGATGCAAAAAATTCTTTTGTCTCGGATGTTTCAATAAGAAACACAAATTTTGTCATCAATAGCTCCATTATTTGCGCTTTTTATTTTGTGAGCAATTATTTTTATACCTCCATTCACTATTTTCGCTTGCTTTTTCAAGAGTAGAAAGTTGAAGTCCGAAGATAACTGAAAAGTGAGTAAGTTCGGAAATCTTTCGCTAAACTGAAGCCTGTCTGAACATTTCATGGAACTCAGCGTGTATATTTATAAATTGGGTCGGAGCATAATATCGTAGCGGTTGTATTTTTCATTTCTTCACACAAACATTTGAAGCAAAAAATAAAAACATAAAACTAATCAGTGATGTTCATTCGTCATTATTTACAACTTTGATTTTGCAGGAGATCACCGGATATAGAATTTAAGAAGAATATTGAGCTCATTATTGTTGTCCTCATTATTTTCAAATTGTACCAAATGAATATGATTTCAATTTGAGCGAAAATCGTTCAGAGAAAGGTTTGATCAGAACAATGGATTCAAAAGAACTTCCAATTTGTGTTTTTCCTTCTTTATTTGAACCGAGAAATAGCAGCTGTCGAAACGCCGATTTTCGCCGTCTGGATTTTCCAACTTCTAAGCTCTATACCTGAGTACAGCTACAATTTGAAGAAAATGACAACTACGGTTTTGTAGAGCGGGAAGAGTACTTTCAAATAATATGAGCATTTTTTGGGAATACTTGTACTGATTGAATTTATACGCTCGAAAAAACGCTACGATATTATGCTCCAACCCGATATGTTAGTGTACGATTTATAGAATGAAACTAAAAAAAGTACTTAAGCGCTAGAAAAAGGGATGACTCGGGTGGAACGCTGTCGTTAACGCATTAAATTTGAAGATGTGCTAAGGAAGTTACCCGAATATGTGAAAACAATTCTACGTAATTTTGTTTCGGGAACAAAATGAATCTTTCATTTTTCATAAAACATAGACATACAAATCGAAAGCATTTGGCTAACCTTCTGGAATATAATCTAGCGGTCCACTGTAGAATGGCCATGGAAAGTTGAAAATGTGAAATAGTAAGAATACTGTGACTCCAAACATAATTTGTTTCCTCTTTTCACTGAAAATAGTAACTGTTTCTGAAGTGTTTCTAACTATACTGGTGGGCAAAAGTTAAGGACGAACGTAGTCTTTCAATGATGTGTTACTGGCGAGTAACATAACTCTATGGAACCTAACCACACATAGAAAGAGCTGCTACAGGCAGTACAGAAAGCAGTTAACAGGAACCGTTAAGCGGTCCACAAAGCTATCAATAGTTATGTTACTCCATTTATCTCGTCCTTAACTTTTGCACGAAAATGTATATCTTCGAACAGCCTTTGAAATGTGAGAACATGGTCAGCAGGCGGAAGAAGGGTAGGAGATTATTACTCTGAAACAATTACATTTGCCCTATGCGAGTATATCCTATGAGAAAACTGTTCCCTGAAGACACTAAGCAGGATGCTGTTTGGAAGATCCCGTTATATAGAACAGCATCAGAGTCCTTCCAATTATACATCACAACGGACCAAGGAGTGGATATCCTGAAACAATACGGTCTCAGATCTCCTGAAATGTTATTGGTCCATAATCCAGCAACTGCAACAACATTGAAGGCTTTCACTGGAATCGCCTTGAGTATGAGTTTCAAAATGGGTTGCTCGGATCAGGGGAAGAACTGTGAGCTTCTCTTAACCTTCTTCACACCAGCCAATTTCATGTGAACAAATAATAGGTTACTGCAGAGCACACGGTCGATTTAAGTTGTCATCGCATTGCTTGGTTAGCTAATAAGGAAAGTTGCTTCCGCCAGCAATAAACTTTGTCATGAAGACAACCACAAAACATATTGATCCACTGTAGAATACATTCTCCACTTTGATCAATTGATTCTTTTTCTTCTCTGCCGAGAATGAAGGACTTCTCTGAGAACTTCCAGAACTGGCTCCAAAATGTTGCTTACCCGCGTTATTTACAATATGTGCTTGAGTTTTTTTTTTACTTTCTTTAGTCGGGAAAGTTCCACTCCGAACAGAATAGGATCGAAATTCCGTCCACCCCTATTATAATCGACTCAAATTGCACGCCAGCTCCTCAATTTTTCGCTGCTTGATATTCCTGTCATGAGATCTTGCATTTTCGAGCAGGAATTTCATATTGGCCAAATTCGTTTTTGGTGACACTCGGCTCTCGGCTTGGTCCACGCGGAAAGCCCTGTGCGGGGAGTTCAGCAGTTGCTGCTTAACACACAGTTAGCGTATCAAACTACACCAGTCCCAGAGTGGTCCACTGTAAAATATGGATGTAAACTTCCGGAGTTAACGTAGCCATCCATCGACTGCTAACCTCGGGCGTTTTGGAGCACCGCGGACCTCACCACCGCTTAAGAGACAAGGAGGTCATAGCGGTTATCTAGACCTCTCACACCAAGTGAATGTGCGGAAGCACAGAATGCAGTGGTACGGACACGTGCTAGGGGAAGCGCGGGGCAAGAAACCAAGAAGTACTTCAGGAAAGCGCACCGCACAACAACAGCGGATTCTGTAATAGCACGAAGTAGATGCTGGGAAGAAGAGCAAGAAGAACGTCTCCACCAGATTTGGCAATTGCCCAGAACACTTAATAGGATGCAGTTGACTTGAGGAATTAGGCTGGCTATCAAGTTTTCATTTATACAGGTCACTGATCATTTTTTCTGGAAACTGTATTAATGCATCTTTAAGCTATGATTATCAAAAATCTCTTCAGGGCTCACATTTGAGACGGCGCAGTGGGAAGACTCCATCGATGTTTAATTTGTTCTATTTCAAATGGCTTGTGGAAATTATTATTTGAGGGAACGCTATTCCATCGCACTTAATTAGCAATGAGCTATAGTCCTTCAACGAACCGACAAATTCTAAACATTTTCTCTAATATGAGCAATTCTCAATTCAAAAATATCTCTACGATCGCAAGAAAAAACGATGCCTCTTCCTGCAAAAACGACCTTTCAGATTTTACGGCTTTCTCCGCTAACCAACCAAAGATGCGTGCGCGTAGAAATACGACCCATCTCTGAGAGTATCCAGCTGTCGTTTGACTCAGCCCGATAAGCACCGATTCTACCAATGCGATGCGACAACAAGATCATTTCAAGGTAGACGATTACCCATATCTTAAGATTCAGGTGCTAATGACACACCACTTGATGAAAAAGTGTCTGTTTGCTTACGCCTTCAAGTGGTCGTAAAACATACGTCACCATCTCACAAAACTGTAGTCGATAGATTAGATAGCAGTAGCGACCTGTCCGACGAAAATGCAAGCGATAGCTCATATGAAATTTGTTCTCAGAATAGGATCTTTTTAGATTTTTACCTCGAAATTTGTTAAGAAGTCTCACCACCTTCTCAAAGTTCAGCAAGCGAGGTGACAGGAAAAGTTATCGGCTAGGATCATTGCACTTCTCTGTCAGCTTAAAGGACGATTTCTTCATGGAATGAATGCAGAGATTTCGAGCGGCGCACGGCTTCGATAGAGAAAACATGTAGACCGGAAGATTTAAAACGCCCTCTTCCACTTAATTTTATTAGAATGTAAAGCACATGAAGAGAGCTGGGTGCTACTCCGGAATCAGGACCGCGCAGTCATAGTGTAGTGTATATCTGTTACAAAGACTACTTTGTGTGAAAAGATCTAATTGGCGATGTATTGAATTAAAAAGCTCACACTTCAATATTGGTCGCAACCATGCATGAGACCATCCACAGGTAGATACATATTAAAGCTGGTATCACATCGAACTTTGGAATGACCACGTCGTTATCTAAATCAGTTTCTCCACTTTCTCACGCTCGAATTCGTGGCAGAAAGCTTATAGATATCTTTAGAAGGATAACCCTGTAGTCTATTTGGATTCACCTTCTTTTTTCGTCTCAATAATGCCAGCATACTCTTCTTTGAAAAATAGAGTAATTATTAGGCAACACGCAATAGAAAGCAGCACCATGAAAAATGCTGGCAGTGTGTACATATTGAAAATCAATCGATCCGATTCCCGAAGTCGAAATCCCTTCTCCCCCACCGGGGTGAAAACTGCCTAAGATATACAACTCTTCAAAGAACTTATCATAAATT